TAAAATGGATCCTCTGAGCCCACACGGGGAACAGAAAAACAGAAACAAGTATTTATACATAAAATTTTGACTGAATTATTACTTTTTTTTTCTATTCTTATCATTATCATCATCATCGTCATCATTATCATCTTAATCAGCATCCTCATCATCATCATCGTCATCATTATCATCATCATCATCATCACCATCGTCATCATTATCATCATCATCATCATCATGATCATCATCATCATCACCATCGTCATTATCATCATCATTATCGTCATCATCATCATCATCGTCATCATCATTTTCGTCATTATCATTATCGTCATCATCGTCATCATCGTCATCATCATTATCATCATTATTATTATCGTAATGCACTCCCTATACTCTCCAATTCGTGTGACCTCTATTGTCGTGGCGATGGCGCCTAAAGGATCGATTGATTGATTGATTGATTGATTGATTGTTTGATTGATTGTTTGATTGAGAAAATAATATACAAATTTCTTGACGACTTCGTGGATTTACAGACAAAACAGCCCTAGCACAATATGTCTACATCGCCAGTGGCGCGAAAAAATGTGATCTTACCCATAGAGTCCAAACAGACGGTGTCTGGTTTGTTCTCTCCCGCCATATGTTGACATTTAGTTCCCGCCATTTGTTGCAGAACGGTGCAGGGGCAAGCTTCACCCCAAAGAAAATATCCCGCATCAAGTGACACACGTTGCAAAGAGGCAAAATCCCAGGTATCATCGTCACCGGTGGGCTTTCTCCCAATGGATGACAGGGGCGTGGAAAGTCGGGCAAGGGGGAGGAGGGGGTGGGACTGAAACATCCAGAGACCCCCCCCTATCTCTACCATCGTTTAGGGTTTGCTGAGCCCCCCCCCCCCCCCCCCACATCTATCCCAAAGAAGGTGCAGTGTGACTAAGTAAAAGCCCCTCTAGCCCTGTTTAGAAGTTCTATTTTTGAGTAATCGTTGATAACTGGGACATCAACGCCACCCCCCCCCCCCTTTTTTTTTACAACAAAGGTAATTCCAGTCAGAAAGAAACACCTCATACAAAGCATAATACAATTTATTATCATGGTATGGGGCGTCGCAGGTCGACCCGGCCTAAAATGGGTACCAGGATGGATGTCATGGGGAAGTAAAGACGGCCGGCGTAATGTTGACCCCATTACCCATCTAGTGCCAAAAATCTGTAAAAATATGGGTGCTCTTCCCACATGCCCGATGTGCTTGAAGGCGTGAAGAGGGATCCAGACTTTACACTCACTTACTTATACTGTCAGTGTCAGATAACAAACTAGAACAGAATACTAATAAACAAGGAAAGGAGATGTATGAGAAGAGCTGAAGCAGTGAATAGAAGAGATCAAATCAGGAATGAGGCCCAAAGACCACACTTCAGCACAGTAGGGTTAGTTGCGTATCCTTTACAGGACGTTGCAGAACCAACCCCAACAGCCCCTGGCTGTTGCGTGGTTTTTCTAGGCGAATTTACGTCCAGTAGCTTGCCATTGCTTGCTGGACGATCGGCTTTCTTGATACCACTGTCGAAACCAACGCAAGGCGTTTAGCCCGCAGCTGGGATCGATCTCAGCATCCCGGCATTACAAAGCGTTGGCATCGACTTAGCCACAGAGCCTTCAGCACAGGACCATGTCTAAATTACATACAAAGACAGCAAATCAAATGGTTTGTTCCATAGACAGAGTGCTTTGAGATGCTAAACCAAACAATACAAGTCATACACTCAAAGAAGAGATTGGCGAAGAGCACGAGGTTGACCAATGACTAAGAACAAGTTAGTTAGTTAGTTAGTTGGGTTATCCTCATTGCACTCCGGACATGTCCATAGGTGCTCAGATCCTCCCCTCAGTATGAACCCCAACGTCCGATGGCTAATAGTACCAGTTCTATGTTGATTAACAAGTCTTCTGGCGTAGCTGGTTTGCGTCTCGTTTTTTGCTGTGCCGATCTTAATTCCCAAGTCTGCCATTCTGGCGAGTGATGTGGATTCACTGCCACCAAAGTCGTCTATCCTTCCCATTTCTCTGAGGGCATTGATAATATCAGCATGATCCATAGGCCGACCGTCGGTAGTGATAGCGGATCCAGCCAACCTGTCAGCTCTTTCATTTCCATCGACGCCGGCGTGTCCCGGAACAAAAATAAAGGTGACTCCACGCACAGTGGACTTCTGTAATGATTCAAGCCATTGTCTTCGCACTGAACCTGCCTGAACCCTCCGGATCATACTCATTGAATCACTGAGTATACACACGCGGGTGTATTTTTGTGTTGCAAGCGACTAAGAACAAGATGGAAAGTTAACATGAGAGAAACTCTACAACAGCACGACGTGTCTATGGCTGAGGCGACCAGAAGAGCAGAAAACAAAACTTGATATCTCCCTTGATATCCGAAGCGGTAAAAGAGGAAATGGAGGCGAAGAAGAAGAGGAAGAAGATTGTGTTTAACGTAGAACACTTTGCTATATGTATTTGCCATTAGGCATCTAAAGATCATAATAATACTTCCATTTAAAATGGAGGATTAGGCATGGCACACCATTTTGCTTCGAAGTTGTTTTTTTGTGTGTGCTTTTGACAACGCTTTGCTAATGCAGATTCCACATATGGACGGTAATCTACGTTTTTGCTGCCTGAGCTAAAGAATTTAGTGCCTGGTGCAGCCCTGTGAGCTGTTATATTTCATGGGGAATTCCTTTCATTTATGCAGTTGTTGTGTCGCGGTATTCAAAATTTTTCTTGTTTCTGGTAGCGACTGTTGGCTTTGACACCTCTAGCAACTGCCAAATGCATTTACTGCATCCGCATATTTCTGGATTATTCCGGAAAGATATAAAGCGGAACGAAACGTAGATCAGCGAGCTTCACAATATAAACAACACAACAGAAAAATTAACGTCCACAGGGCAAAAATATTCCAGGACAAATGGTTTGATCGACAGTTTTTCAAATGTGACAGTGAGGGATACTTCATTTGATTTTCCCTGGCCCAGGAACAGGGCAAGTATGGGGAAACCCGACTGCAGTGAAGTTGAAACCTCGACCAAGACTGTAATAATAATAATAGTAATAATAATGAGTGCCTCGTTATTCAGAGAAGCCAGATTCAATTCCAGCTGCAGGCGATGCGACAGCAGACGCTTTACATTGGTTTCGACAGTAGTATCCAGTACCGACCGTTGAGGCAGCAATGGCAAACTACAAAAAGTAAAAATGCCTATTAAAACCAAAAAGACAAGCATTGCTGGAAATGGCTCTATAGCTTCCTCTAAAGGACAGAGAACTGACTTCAAATAATAATAATTACTATTACGCATTTAAACATGGATTAGACTCCTTTACTACTAACAGACAGAAAACTATATCTAACGCCTCTCTCTGACGCTTTATGGTATAAGCAATGGGGGAGGGGGGGGCGCGAAAGCGAAGAACAAACAGTAGTAGTAGTAGTAGTAGTAGTAGTAGTAGTAGTAGTAGTAGTAGTAGTAGTAGTAGTAGTAGTAGTAGTAGTAGTAGTAGTAGTAGTAGAGGAGGAAGAAGAAGAAGTAGTAGTAGCAGTAGTAGTAGTAACAGTAGTAGTAGTAGTAGTAGTAGTAGTAGTAGTAGTAGTAGTAGTAGTAGTAGTAGTAGTAGTAGTAGTAGTAGTAGTAGTAGTAGTAACAGTAGTAGTAGTAGTAGTAGTAGTAGTAGTAGTAGTAGTAGTAGTAGTAGTAGTAGTAGTAGTAGTAGTAGTAGTAGTAGTAGAGGAGGAAGAAGAAGTAGTAGTAGGAGTAGTAGTAGTAGTAGTAGTAGTAGTAGTAGTAGTAGTAGTAGTAGTAGTAGTAGTAGTAGTAGTAGTAGTAGTAGTAGTAGTAGTAGAAGTAGTAGTAGTATTAGTAGAGCAGGAGGACGAAGAAGAAGAAGAAGAACATGGGCCCCTGATATTTTCTTTGCTGCAGCGCCCCTGATGGAGGTCACGGCGATGAACTACCTCTGATGCAGCTGACGATTAGATAGAACAAAAATAAACAGATTCCTGTCGGGTACTCATCCATTGTACGCCTTGTGTTTGTTTTCTCAATCGTCGCTTACCTCAGCGGGGGGTATTATGGAGAATATTGTGCCGAGTGAGCGGGTCCTTGGTTCTGTTTGACCCGGGTTCTTGTGATCTTGAACTTTGATATATATATCGTAGAGACAAAGGGATGGAGGAATATTCGTGCACATAGAAAAAAAAGACAGTTGGTTCTGACTGTATAATTCTACTCTGTTACTAATACATCAGTGTGTGGCTTAGGCATTGCGAACGAGCTCCGTAACGCCAGGTGGCCGAGTTCGATCCCAGCTGCCGGTGGCTTGGCATCAGATCGCCTTGCGTTAATTTTGACACTGGTATCGAGAGCGGACAGTGAGTGAGTAATGGCAAACTACTGAACGTAAATATGCCTAGAAAAATCACAACATATATGCTGTGGTTGGTTCTGCAACGTCCTGTAAAGGATACGCAGCTAACTTCTTTAAATTAGTGGGAATGAAGACGTTAAAAGGTTTATTAAATGTTTAAAAACGCGCACAACAACAACTACAACAATGGTATAGTTGTATGTTGGTGCATTGTTGTATGTTGGTGCATTGTTATTTGTTGGGGTGGAAAGCCTGCACGCCTAGAAATTATGGATGAATCCGGTGGAGAAAAAAAAAATGTAAATCAATTGAAAGAACATTAAGGTATCCTATAGTGCAATTGGAACAATATCACTCATTAAATTTGGGAAGACTTTATATGTTAAAATTATGACATTATTTATGTTCCTGTCATTAGTTGTGAGTTTTTTATGTAAAAAAAAAAAAGGGGAGGGGGTGTTTGTGTGTGTGTGTGTGTGTGTGTGTGTGTGTGTGTGCGTGTGTGTGTGTGTGTGTGTGTGTGTGTGTGTGTGTGTGTGTGTGTGTAAGGTATCTTTTTTTTTTGTTGTTGTTGCTGTTCTGACGTTATTCTAATATTTCGTTTCATTTTCCTCCATTCCGTTGTGACATTACAACTGACACTCATGCTGCTGCTGCTGCTGCTGCTGTTGCAGTCATCTTCATCAGTTTCCACCTCCATCCTTATGCTTGATGGGCAGCATTGGATATAGACATTCCCTCTCGATGTCGAATCTCTCTAATGTCATCAGTCCATGTCTCCTAGGTCTGCCTCTTGCCTTCACTTTCTTTCACGTGCAGCGCCTGCGTTTGTTGTTGTTCTGGCTGTATTCTTACTAACTGACCAAACCATTTGGTCTTTACTTTCTATGTGAATTGTTTGCATGCTGTTGTTTCTACAGTCTGTCTGATAAAAGCATTTCTAACTTTGTCCCTGATGGTTAATTCGGAGTAAACAAGGAGTGACTACAGTCGAAGTGATTGAAAGAAATGCTAAATATAACAGAAAAAATGATTAGAATGTTCAGCGGAGGTAATAGAAAAGATGCACTCCTCTTTGTGCTTATTATCACTTATTTCGTTTCGTATTATAGACCTATGCTATAGACAGATTCTCAGAATATCTTGGACAAAGAAGATGAGAAATATTCCCATCTTAAAAAATCTAAATATCAAAGAAGATTGGCTAATAAACAGCATCCTTTCTCGAAAGCTGAAATATGTTGGCCATATCAAGCGCCACGACGGATTGGGAAAAAAAATTATAGTAGAAGGCATGGTACCAGGAAGGAGGGGCAGAGGCCGACCGACACGAAGATGGACACAGGATATAAGTGACTCCTTGAGTGTGAAAGTGCATGAGGAGGGAGAACTGGCGAGAGACCGAATTTATTTCAGGCAGACTGTGATGAGAGCGACGTCCTGCAAAGGACCTGCTACATGATGATGATGATTATAGACCTTCATATTCATACTCCCACCCTAACTCCACCCTCCCCCCCCCCCCCCAATTAGGTACATCTTGTATTTATGTTGAATTTGTTTTACTTGATTAGCTCTGTTGTTTTATCCGTTAAGTTTTCCAGTCGCAGTTTCTTCTGTACATAGTACTTCGTTGATAACGACTTTGATCGAAACGTTCAGTTGTTTGTGTGCGTCTTTTCCATTCCTTCCGTTGGGCTTACCAGCCACATTTTGTCTTTGCATATCATGTTTAATTTGGCGGCTTTTCTCAGGCATCTCATTTCACAGGTGTTACTGCAGTCGAAGCTAGAAAACACGAATTGCACAAGACCGACACTAGTAATTATGATAATACCTTCTGGGACCAATATTGTGTTTATGTTAACCCAGTGTTCTTCATAAGCAAGTTCATCTTAACGGATGTTGCTGTACTATTGTTGCTGTTGCTATTACTTCAGACACACAAGAAGCAACTGCTTTAGCCATTTCTATTTCTACTACAATTCTCGTTTAAGCTTGGCCCCAAACCACCCCTCCCCCCATCCCTCTTTTGTGGGGAAGCAAGAATAGACCCACTTCCTCCTCAGCAAGCATGCTGTGAGAGCCGACTAACTGGAGGCATCTTTCGACGTTCGAGTGCATATGCCAGAGAGGCAAGGAACTAAGAGTCTGCATACAAGTAAGCCAGATGTGTGAAACGTATGTGCACGCAGCACTCAGATTCTGACAAATTATCCAGAGGGGTAGGAACACCAAGAACCTTCCCATGGAGTTTACAGCCGATGAACGAGAAGAAGACCGAGACAAATACTACTACTGTCGCTGGTACTACTTCTACTACTACTACTACTGCTGCTGCTGCTGCTGCTGCTGCTACTACTACTACTACTACTACTACTGCTGCTGCTGCTACTACTACTATTACTAATGCTGCTACTACTACTACTACTACTACCACTACTGCTGCTGCTGCTGCTGCTGCTACTATTTCTGCCGCTGGTACTACTACTACTGCTACAAACTACTAATGCTGCTACTACTACTACTACTACTACTACTACTACTACTACTACTACTACTACTACTACTGCTACTACTACTACTACTGCTGCTGCTGCTGCTGCTACTACTACTGCTACCACAGGTACTACTACTACTACTACTACTACTACTACTACTACTACTACTACTACTACTACTACTACTACTGCTACTACTGCTACTACTACTACTACTACTACTACTACTACTACTACTACTACTACTACTACTACTACTACTACTACTACTACCGCTGGTACTACTGCTACTACAACTACTACTACCGCTG